TTATTATTATTATTATTATTATTATTATTATTATTATTATTATTATTCATATTTATAAAGCACCACATCACAACAACAGGTATCTCCCAGCTTTCCAAACAGAGCAGCTCAGACTCTGAGTTATTTTCCAGAAGAACAACAGTTTCCACCAAGAGAAGCACTAGGAGACACAGGGAGGGAAAAACTGAATTTAGGGGGAAGAAACGTGGAGCAGAACCAGAGAGAGAGAGAGAGAGAAGGATAGAGAGAGGCAGCCTACACAGTAACACATAAACTGGATGAACAATGGTAAAGATAGTGATAGTAATGATGATGATAGCAGGAATATTCAGACTAAGAACAGACTCCCAACCACAGATCCAGCCTCAGCCTGTTCTCTGGCAGGTTCTCCCACCATAAAGGCCACATGAGCCAGACCCTGTGAGCACCTGACTGTAGTTTATCTTTTCTAATGAGGAGAACCTGCATCTTAGAGGGTTCCCGCCTTGTTTCTCGTTAGCTCTCCAACGTTTCCCGTCTCCTCTGTCTCTCCAGAGAACCTGGTCAAGTACGTGACCACCATGGTGTGTGTGGCTCTGGAGGGGAAACCGGTCATCGGGGTCATCCACCAGCCTTTTACGGGCTTCACCGGTAGGCCAGGGGGCTGCCCCCCCCCCCCCGAACAGTGGTCTGAGTGTTAGCTAAACAGGCTAATCCCGTGTTTTATCTCTCTCTCTCTCTCTCAGCCTGGGCTTACGTCGGTCAGGGGTCCAACATGCGTTCCCGCTCCTCCTACAGCGCGGACAACCCAAAGGTGGTGGTGTCCCGCTCCCACTCCGGGGAGGTTAAGAACTTTATTCACAGCGCTTTTGGAAACGGCACGGTGGTGGCAGCAGGGGGAGCAGGTGAGCCCGCACCCATCACTTAAAGATAACTGCGAGCATTAGCATTAGCGTTGGCTCCAGATCCAGTTTTTTTAAGTCCGATCCCACATAAGTATTAGCATTAGATCCAGACTCCGGATCCAGTTTTTTTCTAGTCCGATCCCACACGAGCATTAGCATTAGTATTAGCATTAGCTCCAGTATCCAGATCCTGTTCTTTTTTTAGTCTGATCCCACACTAGCATTACCATTAGCTCCAGACTCCAGATCCAGTTTTCTTTAAGCCCGATCCCACACGAGCATTAGCGTTAGCATCTGTAACCACAGGTCTGTGTCCTAACCATTAAGTTATCAG